CTTGTGGGTCTGACTTGTGATGTGTAATCAAAGTAAAGGGTTTCATAAGGTTAAAAGTTTTCACAATTTTCCTAACAAGACTAGCTTAAAGTCTTTTACTTGGTTTATGCTGGTTTCACTGGTGTCAGAGAAAAACCAGCAAACCAGACCAACTTGAAAAAACACCTTAGGATGATTTTGAGTTGTATTTTTCTGAAGGGATACAAGTACACGTAGAGGATTAAAATTGTGAAGATTTGGGATGGATGGCATTTTTCATATGTTTTACTTATACACAAATCTTTTTGATGTCTTTTGGTATGTAAATGGACCTGTGTTCATTTTCAGTTATAATGCACTCTAATCAGTGGGATTCTTGCATATCAGCTCTAAGTTTTCCACAAAATGACTGCTATACATTAAGAAAATGTGACATTAAGGATGACTCAGCAATAAGGCTTCTTTCTATCACATATCATTAATATTAATTGGCTTAATTTTTCATCATTTCATCTCATTAATATGGCTCTCGTCCAGCTTTGAAAGTGCCCATTTGCTTTTGAAAAGCTTTATCTACTCAAGACCGTAATTGCCCACAAATCCACATTAGTTATTAATTGGCTTCCAGTTGCATGGAAGTTCATCATATGTTGATCAACTCTTCATGTTCTTTCCCATTGTCACTTTCAGATTTTAAAGCGAGGTTGCCATGTGAATGACCGTGATGGCCTGACGGATATGACTCTTCTCCACTACTGCTGCAAAGCAGGAGCTCACGGAGTGGGTGAGTGACACTGTAGTTGACGGTTGGAGTTTTTTGCCCTGACTTGCCTTGTAATCCACAATCCAAATCTGGCATTTCTCTGTAATTGAGGTCATTAAATTCTAACTCCTTTAAAAGCCCTAACCTAGCGGTGCATTTCACACGTGCTGACATAATAAAAGCGAATCGTGTGACCGTTGGTATAGTAACAAATGTATTTTCCTTTCAGGTGATCCTGAGGCAGCACTCCGGCTGTCCAATCAGCTGCTAGCTCTGGGAGCTGATGTGAGTCTGCGCAGTCGTTGGACCAACATGAATGCCCTACATTATGCAGCTTACTTCGATGTACCAGAACTGATTCGTGTTTTGCTCAAAGGCTCCAAGCCTAAAGGTGAATTTCAAAAGCATAAACAGTGTTTGTATTCACGACAGCATCTCAATTTTTTAATAAGCCAAATGCTTTTTGAAACAATCTAGTCACATTCTCACACACAAGCTGAGACATAAAATGCTAAATAGTTAAGTCATTTAGAAAATGTCAAGTATCATGCACAAGGAAATGATGAAGAGGCTAATGAGTATTTGGCATCTCATTACATTTTCCACTAATAAAGGTGGGTGTTCTTCAACGTGTCTGGTTCTCTTTTCTCTACACAGTGCTCAACTCCACCTGCAGTGACTTCTATCATGGCACAGCCCTGCACATCGCCGCCTCCAACCTCTGTCTCGGTGCTGTCAAATGTTTACTGGAGCATGGAGCCAATCCTACTGTTAGAGTGAGCATGATGATTTAAACTTCACTTGAGTTAATCAACCTGATTGACCTTGCTATAAATCCACTCCGTTCATATTGGATTAATGTTTCAGAAGTCTTTGTTGGTCTGTTTTTCAGAATACTCTCATTAGTAACCAGATAATTTTATATGGACCCACTGTATATATGAAATAAGATGCACAAATATATCCTACCATTCAAAAGTTTGGGGTTAGTAAAATTTTCTAACATTTTGTCTCTTGGCTAACTAAGAATGCATTTATTTGATAAAAAATACAGTAAAATAATGTTGTGAAATATTATTACAATTAAATATCTGTTTTCTATTTGAATATATTTTAAAATATAATGTATTCCTTTGATGGCCAAGCTGAATTTTCAGCAGCCATTACTTCAGTCTTCATTATCACACAATCCTTCAGAAATAATTCTGATATGCTGATTTGGTGCATTTCTTATTATTATCAAAGTTAAAAAAAAAAAAATTCTATGATGAATAGAAAGTTCAAAAGAACAGCATTTTTTTAAAATAGAAAACTTTTGTATCATTATAAATGTCTTTACCTTTGAACAAATTAATGCATCCTTGTTGAATAGAAGTTCTAACTTATTGACCCCAAACTGTTGAACAGTAGTTTATATTTACTAAAAGATTAACTGTGACTATGTTATTGACCCAGAAGGCAATGTCTGTAATCTCAAAATTAACTCTCTGCCTGCTACAGAATGATAAGGGTCAAGAGCCTGCTGAGGTTGTCCCTGACCCTATGGACATGAGTCTGGATAAAGCTGAGGCTGCCATGGTGGCTAAAGAGCTGAAACAGTTGCTGCTGGATGCAGTGCCTCTCAGCTGTAACCTCCCCCGGGCCACCCTGCCCAATTATGACAACATTCCCGGCAACCTTATGCTCTCCTCTCTAGGCCTCAAACTAGGGGACCGTGTGGTGCTGGATGAAACAAAGGTGAGATTAGGAGAGTCTGTGTGTTTAAAGATGTTGAAGGATGGATGCAGTGTCTAAAGGACCTAGGCTAGGAGAATATAGGATATATATATAAAACAGAATGCCTCTTTTCTGCAGACTGGCACCCTCCGTTTCTGTGGCACTACTGAGTTTGCTAGTGGGCAGTGGGTTGGTATCGAGCTGGACGAGCCGGAGGGCAAGAATGATGGGAGTGTGGGTGGGATGCGCTATTTTATCTGCCCCCCAAAACAAGGTGTGTTCTCTTCATTTCTGTATTATAAAAGTCATTTTATAATTATTGTAATGACAACAGCAAGCATGAATTGAGATTCAGACTGATCGCATTATTCAGATGAAATAATCTAGAGTTTAATATTTGGTGTACACGTCCATTCTTCAGGCATCTTCGCCCCTGTGTCAAAAATCAGCAAAGCTCTTGAGCAGGCCCCCTCTTCGGTCACCTCCACCCCAAAAACCCCTCGCATGGATTTGTCTCGCGTAACCGGCAGGATCAAAAAAGAGAAAAAAGAGAAAGATTGTGAAAAGAGTGAGTGATAACATCTATATATCAAACATCTATCTATTTTATATGTGCATTTGAAGTTCTGTGTTGTCCAATGTTCATTTTCTTATCAATTTGTTATCAAATCATTGTTTAAACCCAAGTTAATGTGTGACCACTTAAAAGTCTCTTGTTTACCAAGGCTGCATTTATTTGATTAACAGTAATATTAACAGTGAAATATTATTGCAATTCAAAAGAACTGTTCTCAGTTTTAATATATTTTAAAATGTAATTTATTCCTTTGATGAAAAAGCTTGTTTTTTTTTCTTAGCAGCCATTGATCCAGTCTTCAGTGTCACACGATCTTTCAGAAATCATTCTAATATTCAGAATTTTCTATTAAAATAGAAATTCTAATAGTATTTCACAATGTTAATTTACACTGCATTTTTTGATCAAATAAATGCAGCCTTGGTGAGCCTGAGACACTGGTGTATATCTGAAGTTTGTCATCTTCTGCACCAGCTCCAAGAAACAAACATCTGTCCGGGGTCAGTTTGGATCCTGATGGAGTCAAGGTTGAGGTTGGGGATCAGGTGTTGGTGGCTGGCCAAAAGCAAGGGATCGTCCGCTTTTTTGGCAAGACAGACTTTGCTCCAGGTATGTCTATCTGAAGGTCTAAGATAATGGTATAATATAATGACATGAGAATAAGCCTGACATGATGATTTGCAATTACCTTATAATTAATATGAAATCACATATAAGTACAATAATGTGCAGTAAGTGTTTAGAATTTTGTGTGTGTGGATTCTTGTGATCAGGATATTGGTTTGGTGTGGAGTTAGAGCAGCCCACTGGAAAGCATGACGGCAGTGTATTTGGAGTACGTTACTTCCACTGTTTGCCCAAATATGGGGTTTTTGCACCACCATCCCGTGTTCAGAGGTAAAATCTTCAACATGTACCAGAAAAAATGTTTTATAGATACACAACTTGGGTTAGAGTAAATAGGGATATGTTGTACTGTTTTGGTTATAGAATATGAGCAGACCATGCCTTTCATTTAGCTTTGATTTCTGAATAGCAAACACATTTGCAGTAATATTTCACTGTTAGGATAATGATAAAGTACCAGAAAAATGTTAGGGTGTGGGGCATAAGAAAATGTGCTAAAATACCATCTACGCTATGAAGTCTTTCTGAAACCATCTAGTGTAAGGTAAAAAAAAATAGACATTTAGTATGATATAAATTGAAATAATTTTGTTGTACAGATTAATTCTCCAAAGAAACATAGTGTAATTTAATCCTTTATTCTTGCAGAATTGCAGGGCCCAAAGGTCCTCAGGGTGATGGGCCACTAGTGAAGAAAGTCCACCAGGTGACAAGTAAGTACAACGATAAGAACATGTTTTTCTTATGCTAATTTTTGGGGAAATTTTGTCTTATTTGAAAAAAATTTTAAGCAATAATTTTCACAATCAGAGTGTGTGCATTTGTAAGAATAAACAACATTAGCTCACATTTAGTGCGCCATCTTGTATCTTCTCAGTTAGGCATACAGTGACCTCTGTTGTCCAAAATGTGTAATAGCAATTCCGAAGTTCAACATTCAGCTGGATGATTGCATGTAGCAAAGAGCAGAAATATATAAAAATGTATTATATAATATGCATAATACAATATGTATATGAATGAACAACACAGTCCCACATGACAGCCTCAGGTACATGGTTGTAATGTTTGTCTGTGTTCATCCTCCTCTCCAGTGTCCCAGCCGAAGCGTAATTTTAATGCGATGCGATCTCCGAAAGACATAACATCTGAAAGTTCCATATCCAGGTATGCTTGTGTCCCACAAATAACATATCCGTTTGGCTGCAGCTGTGAATCTAAAATGTTTCCTGTGTTACAAGATTAAACGACAGCATTTTATATTCATGATCCGTTTCTGTTACAGCAGGTTGCTGTTCTGTTGCTGGTTTCCCTGGATGCTCCGTGCAGAGATGCAGACCTAAATCCACTGGTTACATCTTTAATTATATCTCCCTCCTCTTTCTGTTCCTCCTCAAGATAAAACTTGCCCACTCTGTGTACTACCAATATTCATATGTGCTTCTCTATGTGAACTACCCAGACTGCTGTCCTGCCCCTTTGACGGCAATTCAATAGCAAAAAAAATAGTGCCTTGACAAGTAACTAATGTCCTGCATTCCGATGATTGAATTATAGATGAACAATCTTTTATGAAATCAAAATCATTCCTACTAAAAGCCATTCATATCTCTCTATCAGCTTGTTTTTTTTATGCTAAACCGCTGCGAGTAGATTATTGGCAGTATTCAAGCTTGATAATACAGTCATAATCCACATAAAACTAGGCTTGTATGTCTATTTTAATTTGTAACGGTGCTTTTTGTTTGTAAACATGCTGCTGTATTATGCACCTTTACTGTCTTACTTTACAGTATTTTATTGTATACAGACTTTGTTTCCTATGTTTCAAATGCCTTTAAATGAACTAATAGGTGACATATTATTATTAGTGAATATCTGAAAACATAAAATGTTTCATTGTAACTGTAGTCTGAAAATATTGATGCTGCCGATGTGAGAAAGAGGGTTTTTGCAATTGGAGCCCAATGCTTTCTTCATCTACAGTGAAACTGTAAGCGTATGGTTTAAAATATAGAATATGTTGCATGAAATAAGCAGGCATGGGCACGTTTTTAGGTCATAAACTGCTCTGAAATGAGGTGAGATGCCTGCTTTAGATATTATAAGCTAATAAATCACATTTCATTCAATTAAAATCAACCACAAAACCAAAGCGCAAGCTCCATGATATAGCAAAAGCTAAATAATCTCTTACTTAAAATAAAGTACTGTTAAGAACCACGCATCAATAATGCAGGTCTTGAGAGGAGGCATTCTTGACATTTCATAAAAAACGAGGTGACAATTAAAGGATTTGTCTATTTTATAAACCCAAATAAAAATACGAATCACAATCATGTTTCTCTCACCAGAAAAAACAAAAACAAATTATAGTTCATCTAGTATAGTTTAAAGTGAAGTACAGTTTATATTTTAACATAAATCCGCATCTGTCATCTACAGTCTAATGTATAAAAGCTGTTAGGCCAGACTACCTATTCCTATAGTGATCCCAGAGCAGGCAGATTTTGTTAAGGAGAGAATAAAAAACAACAGCTTGGCTTGTGCACTCTCCTTTCTTGTGAACACTTGGTCAACTGCACTGATTTACAAAAAAGAGCAACTTGCAGAATTGAAAATGTACTGCTTGGGCAGGTCTGGACAGCTTTTGATTTCTTCAGCCACCATGCCATTATTTCATTAAAGAACAACCGACTCTGTAGTGAGTAGTGCATCTTCTGATGGAGTGCAAAGGTCAGCTCACAACACACCTTAAATTGTGCATTATCATTTTGTGACATTTGTATATTGCTTTATGGTGACTTAAAGTTGTAGAAAGCATCAATATGTCACTGTTATTTACCTTAATTTCAAGACAAGTCACATTCCGTTTTTTGATGCCAAAAGGAGAGTAAAAGTATGACTGTAAATTGACTATTTCATATGTGAGTATCTCGCACTGACTGGCTCACCCTCCACGCTTTCAGAGCGTTTCAGTGTGACATCTAGGGTTGTCGGCAAAGCTTTCTGTCATTTTATATCCAGTTGTGTAATTGGTATAGTTCATTTGTAAACATTTGTTTATTCGTCTGAGAAAAAATATATTTTAATAATTTCACACGGTACTTTTTTAACGTCCTGTGTTTTGTGTTTTCATGTTAACTATACTCTGTAAATCGGACAAGTCACATTCCGTTTTTTGATGCCAAAAGGAGAGTAAAAGTATGACTGTAAAAGTGTGACTATTTCATATGTGAGTATCTCGCACTGACTGGCTCACCCTCCACGTTTTCAGAGCGTTTCAGTGTGACATCTAGGGTTGTCGGCAAAGCTTTCTGTCATTTTATATCCAGTTGTGTAATTGGTATAGTTCATTTGTAAACATTTGTTTATTCGTCTGAGAAAAAATATATTTTAATAATTTCACACGGTACTTTTTTAACGTCCTGTGTTTTGTGTTTTCATGTTAACTATACTCTGTAAATCAGATTAATGTGGATCTTATCATGAATTCAGTTTTGGATTTGATGGACAACATAACTGTACTGCATGTTGTGTATACATCTGCAGGTTTCTTTTTCCTACAGTATAAATCAGCATGAAAAAGCTTATTAATTACTTAAAGTGAAACTCTATCCTGACTATGGAGATATGACTAATAAACATTAGTGTTTTATACTTAGTTTGAATGTGTTGTTTTGATTTATTATAGAATTAATCATTTATAGCCTATCTATCAGGAGTGTAAAGGTACATTCGTCCCTAAACTTTTCGGTACGCATGTGAAATTTCCATCCAGAGGGTCATCCATGCACTGTAAAAAATGACCGTGAATTTAACGGTAAAAGACTAAAAATGCTACAGTAAAAACCTGTTAAATGGTTAACGGTAAATTCCCCTACTATATACGGTGAAAAATTGTATTAGACATTAATTTTACGGTAGTATACCGTTTTTGGAAGTGAAATAGGCCGTATAATTTACAGTGAATAACCGTAAATTGACATTCCCAGAATTCCCTGCGTTACATTTCAAATTTGATGTTTTTTTGTTGAAATAACTATGTTTCTTCTTAGTTTTTTCTTATCAGTTTTGTATATTAGGGTTGAGTGTTACACCTAATGTTGTTAAATTAATGTTTATTGCATTATTTCAGTTTCATGTGTGTTACCATGATGGTGTTTGGTGTTTGTGTGAATGACACGGCGCACCTTCTATATATGTTATTATTTAAAAGCTGCTTGTGATGGGCTTTGGTTCATCATGTGACTTTCTCATCACCACCTGCATTTGGTGGTTATCAGTGTATTACAAAGGTACAAAACAGATGTCAGTGCTTCAATAGGTTGGTATATAATAACATTTTATCAGTTAATGAAATTACGGTATTTGACTGTAAATTTAAGTTAAAACCGTAAAACCTAAAACGTTGTTACCGTATTTTTTACGGTAAAATTCCGGTAACCACAGCTGCCGTTTTTTTACCGTAAATTTTACGGATTTTTTTTTACAATGTGCGCGTCAAGGACGGAGCGAATAAGACGGGAACTAAATTAGATATTTTGCTAAAATAGTTTGCTTCTAAAAGTGTAAGAACTTCAAATATCTAACTCCAATTACAATAGAACCATAATTAAAATATGAACAAAAAAAAAACGTTTATTTCACCGAGAAAGCATGTTTATTCGTATAAAATGTAGGCCTACATATTTTTTTTTACACTGTAAACAAAAGTATACTTTTAAAAACAATGTTTAAAAGCCACTTGAGTCTGTGTTGATATGATTCAGTCATAAATTAATCTGATTCGGGATGATCATAGGAAGCGCGCCTCGTGCTTTTGTCTGGGCAGGTTGTCTGTCTCTTTCTACGTGCACGTCGATTCTTGAACCAGACCTAAAATCGTATTTTATTTATTTTATTTTCAGATATAATCATTAGCACATATTATGAAATAGCCTATTATTAGCCTACAGATAAAGAGCGCTTTCTTACCCGCACAGTCTCCTCGCTGAGGCCGATGTTCTGGGCTAACTCCGCCCGGGTTTCAGCGTTCGGGTAGTCGGTGAATGCGAAGAGCCGCTCGAGCTGCTCCGTCTGGTTGTCGGTAAAAACCGTTCGGATTCGACTGCGCCGTCTCTGAGCTACAGTTTGGTGGTAGTGATTCTCAGCTGTATCACAACCTAAAGGTAGATAAAAAAAAATTATAAACAAAAATGAATTACACTTTTTAAATAAAATAGCCTATAGGCCTAGTTTAAAAAAAAATCATACCTGATGCGGCAAAAGGCCACGGTTGACCTGCATAGTAGTTTGAATTAAAGGTGGGTTGAGAATATGAGACTGGAACACAGCAGCTGTACATTCCTGCATTACACGATGGAGATGGAAAGTTCAGCATGAGTGCTGCATGGTCACCATGACCTCTAGATCCATCCCGGTAGAGTAGGCCCAGATTGGTCAAGTGTCCTGGGAAATCATGAGAAGATGCTGGATGATCCACTCCAGGTGATTCTGCTGTTTGTTTGCTGGCGTCTCCCAAGATGTAATCAATAGAGAAGTTTGAACATTTCTGAGTTGCCATGTTCAAGTAGGGCCTACAGAAGCTGCGGTGACTATGTGCTCTCTCAATAATGACATGGAGCTGGAGAGTTGTATTGGTACCCCCTGTATTGTTTTAACTGAGGTATTAATGTATTTAATATTGGTCCATTAACACCTCTTTGTAAAGGTGGAAGTCAAAGGAAATGAACTTTTGAAGATCCACTTGAAGATCCTTAAACCCTTTTATCCCTTTTGGCACTTGAAATTCACCTGTGATGATACTACTTATGAATGTTTATTGATCACACTTCAATACTTTGGTAGAAGTTAGTGGCCTGCATACAGCAGATTATTTATTTATTTATTTTTTACAGTTTACTGACATTACAGCAATAGTTGTTTACAATAAAGTAGTATGATAAAAATCTATTTTGTATATATATATATTATACATATATGCCAGGCACATATATAGTTTTACCTCAAGGTACATTTTTTAAATTGTATTTTATCTGAATTGTATTTTGTTTTGATCTAGCCTACAAAATAAATAAACAAATATTAAAATACCATGGAAACCATATGGAAACAGATTTATGTAAATGTATAAATACATTTTTTTAAATTACAATTTTAATAAAACTTTATATAAACTCAATCTCATTTGTGGAAAAAGTTTTATAGTTTATATTAAATGTTTATCATAATAGGTCTGCAGAATAAAGGAATAACTTTGATGACACTTATTCAAAGGGACACGCGTGCTTTGAAATTGTCACGTCATCATCCGCATTCACTAAAGTTAGAAAGATAAAAGTCGTTTTATTGTAACTTTTCAAAGAGGTCAAAAGTGTTTTGATTTGGTCCTTCTTTCATGTCCATTTTTATTTGTGTTTTAATAATGCTTTAATGTATGCTATTAAACGAGACTTGGTGCTCATAATGAAAATGATCAATGAGTATTAGCCTATTTTTCTGTAAAGAATTACACCACAAACCTATTATATACTGACCGAAACATATCTATATTGAATATAGTGAATAAATGTCGTCATCTTGTGGTATTATTAAGGAAGTTTGATCAAACTAAAATAAATAAATGCCTTGCAATAATTTTAATACAAATGTTAAAAATAATATAAATAATTGCTTAGCTCCCTTTAATACCCATTAACTGCACTGGTTTATGATTATATAGCAAGTTAACTTTGATTCCATGTAAACAATATTAAATGATAGCATTTTTAAATACAGTCTTTTGGATAGCATAAAGAAAGTATTACATTATCATATTATTACAAAAAAAGGCCAGTGTCTGTGGATAGTGAAATTATTCAAAAACCTTCAGCGTTACATATATGCTGCATGCCAATAAATCAGGGTTAACTCAAGATTAAATGATCATGGTTATTTTAAAGCACAAGCTGCAGCTGTAGCTTAGAGATATCACGAGCGGTTAGTCAGTATTGACTGAGAGAGTGTGTATTTTACAAACCAGCAGATTCTCCCAATATAACTCAGCTTACACCATTAATATTCTATTCTTTTTAAGCTACTTGGGTTTACAAAGAATTCACATGAAAATCCCACTGAGCGGATATGGGTTTTGCCTGTTTGCCAAATGAGATCATTTGATAATCTGCAAGGCCCACACTGCACATATACTATACATAAAATGAAAATTCTGCACACCCTTTATTGTACTGAGGATTTTTGATGTATTAAACACAAACTATTTCTATTATGAACTTCAATGCCCTGGCATATCCCTATCCAGATGGAATAGATCAGTTACAGGGATTTTGTTTCAAGAATCTGTGAATGAGTAGAAGATCTTTAAGTATGGAGGGTTCTTGGCCCTTCCATTCAGATCATAACAATTTGTAAGCTCTGTTTGATACATGAAGTACTTTCATTAAAAAAGACATCAAAAGAGGGATTACTATTTCAACAGCAGGATAAAAGAGCATATAGGCCTATGTATTTAATCAGTCAGTATCTTCCCCTTCAAAATCAGTCATACTACAAAAGTACAGAAACTCACACTAAACAAACCTCATTTGCATGATAAAGGCAGCCGTCTGATTTGGAGCATTGAACTGAATCATATGGTTGACCCATATTCAGTTCTGCAATACATTTATAGAGAGCATCCAGTGTAGTAGTAAGCATCCATCTGTACAGCCAGGATTTGCACAATGCCACTGACAAGCATTGATATGATTTGGGCCAATAGGCAATTAACAAATGCAGGACCTCCTCCAAATGGAGCTGAATGTTCATTGAGAACTCCCAACTATACAGCTCTGCCAAATCAAACTGATCTGGGGATGAAATTCAAGCTCCAGTGAGTAAGATGTGCATCCCAAAAACACAAAAGGAAGTTTAACAGTTGTACTGTAGTCTGAGAAACAGACCCAGCAGATGGTCTTTGGATTTAAGATTAGCTGAGTCATTCTTTACTGAGGAAATAAGCCCTGATGCTGTCTTTTGCATAAACTGCATCTGGAAAACTGTGTTGCCCTGTTTACTTATAAAGTTACATACTATACCATGCTATTGCAGCATCTAAAGGAATAGTTCACCCAAAAATGGCCGTCCAAGATGTAGATTAGGGTTTTTTTTTCTCCATTGAAACAGTTTTAGAGAAATTTAGCATTACGTCACTTGCTCACCAGTGGGTTGTGATGTTTTTTCAATTGTTTGGACTCTCGTTCGGATGGCACCCATTCACTTCAGAGTATCCATTGGTAAGTAAGTGATGTAATGCTACATTTCTACAAATCTGTTCCGATCAAGACACAAACTCATCTACATCCTGAATGGCCTGAGGGTGCGTAAATGTTTAAAAAATCTTCATTTTTGGGTTCAGCTATTCCTTAAAAAAACATCTAGCATATTTTTCACATGTATTGGATCAGTGAGTCCATGTGCACTGTTCTTTTATTCCTCTGGTGCCTGAGAGTGACAGCCAGCTGAACTACTGTATTAAAGGCCACATTTCTCCTTGACTGTTCCAGATGGCTGGAAAAGCAACTCGTATCTCATCCCAAGAAACTGTGTCTGCATCGGGTCAGCTTAATTTGTTACCCCGTCACAAAGCAATTAGAATTATGAACTGTGTGTCATGAACTCAGTCAAGCATCTGAAGGTCATCTTTTCGAATTCAACTCTAAACAAGCTGCCCCATATAGTGAGAGCTGATCAAATGTCACTGAGTAAATGTAAGCTAGGGAAAGGTATTTATCACAATGGACAGAAACCAGAGGAGTTATATAACATAACGTGGCCCCTGAGAAGTATTTAGACACTTAAGATATATTATTACTTATAAATGTATATATGTATTTGTAATGGATATTACAATATCAAACCATGTGGCATTCACTGTAAAGAAAAGCAGGGGTCTTTTTAAGTGAATCATTTAAATTATATTTAACAGATTCTTTCAAGAACGCTGATTCATTCAAGTGACTGAAACATTTAGGCTACTTTGTTCACTGGTCATTGCAAACTCTTGCTGGTTTGTTATTATGGCGTTAAGATATTGATCCCTTTGAGGGGGTCAATGATGCTAATTAACTTTATGAAAACACCTGATCTAAAGAATACATCTTTAAAATGCCCATTTGGCAGATCGTTCACCTAATTTTGGTAACATTTTCCCTATCTACTGTAATTTCTGCTCACGTTATACTACGAAAAAAGGTCAGTCTGCAGGAAATGAAACATGATATTCAGTTTGCTCGCTTAAGATAATAATCTTTCACCAGAGGACTGTGTTCTGTTTATTCTGAGTCAATTAATCATCTCTGCAACCCGGTTCTAACCAAACATACTCAGTAGACTGTGGAGGCCACACAGGGTGACACAGGGAGCTAAGCTAAAATATTTAAGAACCAGGACAAGATTCAGACAACACAGCCTCTTAGTTTTTGTGACGGTGGGGGCATTTGAGTGAGTATGTTAAAGCTCATTTTCTGCGCGTTTCTTTGCTGGTTGAAATACAGTGGTGACCTAATTTCTGTCTGATTTGGCTCATGAGCTAGCAAATACGAACAAAGCTTCAGGTGTTCTTTGAAACCCCTCCAAATAAGACGTCGTATATTAGCACACTCATCTGACACGCTTTGAGGTTTACAGTAACCTACTGCAATGAGAGGAAGATATTGACAATGCTTGAGATCAAAGGATGATGATTAATGTGTTAAATAATAATAATAATTTGTTGCATTTATATAGCGCTTTTCTAGGCACTCAAAGCGCTTTACATTGTCAGGGGGTATCTCCTCATCCACCACTTAAACAGTTCACGGAACAACCAGAAGAGGGAGACATTCTATTAGAAGACTTGCATCTGGATTACGGCATTACATAATTACAATAACATTGAATGATTCATTGGAAGAATGGAGTTAATTTATGCAAACTGACAGAATTGTGTCATACATTCTGTTTGTAAGGCTGATGCTGTCTGCAGGAAAGCAGCAACCATCTGAACACAGCCAGAGGTGAACATCGATATGTGATTGCGAAAAGCTTTGAAAGCAAGGTCACAGACATAGTCTTAAAAAGAGGGTCATGCAAAAATAAATAAATAAATAAATTAATTAATTAAATAAAATACATATAATAATAATCATATATAATTGTATTGCATCCATATATACATCTCTCACTGACCTGCTCTCATTTAAAGGGATAGTTTACCCAATTGTGGAACATTAAAGAAGATTTTCTAATAAAAATGCCTTTTTTCCCCATAAAATGAAAGTCATTAAGCCAATGATGTTTTGAAACCCACTGACTTTCACTGAAGTATGTTTGACAAAAAGTTCAAATATACTTCAAAATATCTAATGTTGTGTCCATACAGGTTTAGAATGACATGATGGTGAGTAAATAATGACAGCATTTTCATTCGAGGGTGAACTGTCCCTTTAAATAATTGCTTTTATAATGATGCTTGTGACCTTTTCACCTCTCAATCTCAATGGACACATCTCTATTGTTTTCAGCTCATGCAAATTCAGGGGCTTCTCTTAGCTGCATAAATAAAGCAAGTAAATGCACTCCACTGCATAATTACACTGCGTTTTATTCAGAATTAGCAGAGTGACCGATTCTTTCTGACGTGAGCGATGAATCACTGGACCCCTCCCCACTCAGAGGTATGAACATATGCGGGAGCTGTACCTCCTTACTGGGTGAGAAAAGAGACAAATGGTGACTGCATGAGTGAACACGGGGTACATGAGTGAAGGTTGGCCGGCGGTTCGGTGTACTCTGGTGTATTAGTACCGTCTGCTCACACATGCTCTTCAAAGGGGCTAAATGGTGTCCTGCCAAGTTCATATCTAGCAGTTGTCAGACAGCAGAGACTGCACTGGCCCCTTATGGGACCTTTTTCTTTGTTTCCCTGTAATCAACAAAGGGTCTCCTATGGGAGACCTGCCTATTTAATATACAGTGAGCTAATCCATCCCTCCAATACAACATACATTCATGCTGCAGTTTCCTAGTCAGTACTGAGCAGTTTATTTTGAAAGAAACACACTGCACAAAATAATTTGATGCCTCTTGTAAATGTTGACAAGAGGCATAAAAAAGGCTAAACAAATGCTGGCCAGTCAACCATGTTTTTTTAATCATATATTTAGTTGGATTTTAATTCGTTTTTCAAGATTTCCAGATTATAAAGTTCTATTGTAGTTCACTCCAGGTTGCCCTGACATTAACCATGATATGGCTGCATTTGAATTATATTGAATGCACATTTGATTGAATACTGCACATTATATTGAATACGGCATCAACACACATGCAAACATTTGCACTTTTAAATAATACACATTTTGTTTACAGCCCAATATTCTACCTACAGGTCTATATGTTTTATGAAAAGTTCCAGAATACAAAAATACTGATTCGAAAAATATGCATACTACGTTAAATGATGCATCGCACATTCAAACTTCTGTGTATAGCAACTGATTTTTATGATTTTATGGCCACCTTTGGATCATAAAATATCTATTTATACTTGTCTACTCTGTTAACAGGTGTATATGTGGTCTGAAAGGTTTCAGAAATTAATGAAATGTTCCTGAATTACATGGCAGCTAATTTCCAAAATAATAGTACAGCAGAGATAAATACACATGTATCTTTAAATATTGGCAAACTTTACCAATAATTTTGAGATTTCACCAGCACTTGTAAAGGATGAATGATAGTTTTGTATTCTGGCTTGCACATATGATGAAAGCAGGAGAGGGATGAACATGATCTGTGATGTAGTTTTTAGCTTTTACTCTGGTTTTCTACTTGAATATTGTGATATTGTCATTGTTAGCTATTAAATTAAGTTGAGGATGATAATAATAGTAAAAAATAAGATAATATGCCATGCATATTTTAAAGTTTATATATAAAATACAAATATTAATTTATAATCAATCACACATTAATTACTAATATGAACATTATTTATTATACATTATATTACAATAAAATACTAATATTAATAATGTTTAATGTGTGTGTGTGTGTATGTATGTATGTATGTGTGTATATATATATATATATAGACAGTAACATAATACAATTACAAATATTTAATGATTATCTAATGATTAACTAAAATAAAAACAATGAACCAATGTATTATTATTATGAAGAACAACAATAGTAGTGTATATAATAATAGTGTAATAAAATAGTGTATAAAATAATAATAAATCATAGTATATTGTGTGTGTATGTGTGTATATATATATATTATAAATGATAAAATTGCAATATATAAACTATAAAAATAAAAAATTATATATTATATTATTTATAATTAAATATTAATTATGCATATGTTAATATTTATAAAAAAATTATGAACTATTAAAAACAATTTACTTAGACACAAACACACACACAGTAAGTGTTTGTGTCTTTAAGTAAATTGTTTTTGTTCATTGTTGTTCTTTCTTTTTATTTTTTCTGTTCCCGTTGAATCGATTAGTGAGATCCATTCTGTCTTTATCTTTCTCCTGACAGAATGGCCTTGCTTCAGGCTGCAACAGTGATGTCAAACAGACATTCTGCTGTGTAAAACTTGCTGTTTGTCCTTGAATGAATCCTCAGTCTTCAGGTGAATGAGTCTGCGTTATTCTCCCTGAGCACAACACCTGTCAGGCGTCTGCTAGCTGGGGAATCACAGCTGAGAGAACAATTATTTCCATCTCCAGCTATGACGTGTTCATGTGGAGAAGCAAAATTCATCTTCTTAACAAGAGTGACTTGCCTTTAGCTATATGCTGCAATTAATGGATGACGTGCTCGTTATACCTTTGATATTGTCACAAAGCAGCAGCTCTTCTTTGTCATCTGTTGTTTTTGGAACGGTGTCGTTTTAAGCATGGGAAATGAAGGCAATTCCAAGAGGATGCGGTTTGAGGATTCTCACCAGATTGCGAGTGCTGTAAATGGGATTAGAAGAAGCCTGGATTGGATTTGAAGGCTGATCTAGCTACTTGAATCACATACTGACAATTTCTCTGAGAGCATTCAGCTCCTATTAGGAGTATTAAGGCCATGGTCAGACTTAAATTGAGACACATTTTCTGTTTAATGGCAAATTAGATGTAATGAACTGTAATTCACAGGACCCAGAGCGAGTTTGCTGTAACGCTGCTCTTTTGCCCTTCTGCACAGCTTGGTCTCGAGGGGCCCAAGGAGAGGAGGGGGGCCTGGTTCATCTCTTGCTTTGTGTGTGTGTGTGTGTGTGTGTGTGTGTGTAGTGGATCAGATCAGGTGTCCTGGCACTGGCCTCTTCTCCCTATCCGGGTGCTGAGAAAGGCCTGTTTGTTTGCGATTTGGGCCTGTGGCACCAAAGTGACAATGAGTGCACTCTTTGTAAGGACAGGGAGGGAGAGCTGAGGGTTTGGGATCAGGGGGTGTGGAGCACCAGGGTCCTTATCTCCTCCGTCTTCATGAGCACCCATCACCGGAAACACAGATGTGCCTCAGGCCGCCTCCATGGGACAGCCCAGACGGGAGTGGGTGGAACACTAGCTGTCACCTCACCGGGAGTGTGTTCACACGTTTTCGGTTAAAAATACATTTGCCGAACAGGTTGGCTCGATCAAACAGAACTATTTTAGCTTGTCATAGTTTTGTGACTCACACTGAGCAAACCGTGTTAAAATTGTCCAAGTTTGTGGTGTTAATCATATAAACCACTGGTTCTCCACTGGTTTTGCTTGAGGACCAAGGTTTTATGTTGGACAGTAAGTGGCATCACGATTCTACATTTGTTTATTGTACATAAGTCTTTAAAACTTAAAATAAAAAAAAGAAAACAATATTTTACCATGAGCTACATAAGCCAAATATGCTACATTATTAACATGCATTTTGCAGTTGCGTTGTTGTTCTTGTTACATTTATATAGAAAATATTTTATATTTTTTATATAGTTGTTTATTCATTTTATTGTTATTACTATTATTAGTATTAAAGTTAAAAAATGTATTATATATATATATATGTCATTTTTATACAGATGTTTTATTCTTTTTTTTTGTTGTTGTTGATGTATCTACCGTAACAGTATATATGTTTCATTCATATTAATGGTTAGTGATTTTATATAGATATGTTTTATGCATTAATTTTAATTATTATCAAAGTAGAAGTATGTTTCATTTATTATTATTGTTATTTTATGTAGATGTTTTATTCATTTCTTTATTATTGTGTATATTAGTTTTTTATTATTATTTTCAGTGTATTTATTTGTGTTGTTGGTATTATAAATTCTTATTAATAGTTTATTAATAAATTTTTTTTACCATCCTAACACATGGATCAAATACTGGGCCAAATTATTCGTATTAGTATTTTTCATATCGCCATGTGACTGAATTTACACCAAAAACTAGGCCTTGGTCAACAACAAAAGATATAGGACTTTTTTTTTTACATAAGAATTGAGCAGTCCTATCTATCCCTAAATGTATGGTTAGGTAGTTGCATTTTATTTGTGTTTAGCTTTTATTTATTTCTCACCACCCACCAGTTTATAACTACTGATATAAATTATACTGAACAGCTTTATCCTTTATTTCCTTACTATTTTGTGGTCTTAGTTCCCAGTTTGTTATTGTAGCGATTTATGTCTCAAATATAGGTTCATGAGTTTAATTAGTATTTACTATAGAGCTTTTCAGTGATGTTTTTTTCAGCAATGTGATTGATTAGAGTCATTAGACACGCTGTTAAACTCATTTTTGTCCTCCACCTCAAATTAATCAATAGAATGTGGGCTGAAATTGTCGGTTATACTTTTTGCTTGGCGGCGTGTGGGATGAGATTCAATACGAGCCCTGAGCTTGGCAAGAGATTGGCTGTTTACTGCTTCGGATGAAAACAACAACAGTCTAAGCTTTTAGAGTGTTGTGACCTTTCCCCGGCTTATCATAAACAGAGCAAAGTAATTGTCATTGGCCACCAAAAGAGTAACATTACCTCCGTTTGCCGTGAGGTTTATTCAGCGCCAAGGAGACAAGCGCCGCTTTATTCGCCATTAAGAAAGAAAAACGATGTTCTCCCAAGAGCGACGTTCATTTTCTGTGAGGGTGTTTTGTGCCTGTACTGAGGAGTCATGTGAGCTGGAAAAATGGTCTATAAAACCTGAATAAGAAGCCCGAGAGTGATTCAAGCTTCATTGATGTACTGAATGCATCATTACTTTTCATTTGCTTCCACATGCAGACTCATCCCACGTCACCTTTCGCCTAAATGGAAGGGCTTTTTTGTCCCCCGTCACTCTCACAGACAGCAGTTTGCGTGTTTATTCAGCTCTAGCTCATTCAAATGCGGGCTGTGTTATGGAAAGGTCCCCAGATGCACCTGCCTCGTCGGTTTCTAGCCAAACCATCGACACTAGCTGAATAGGATGACTAAGCATCTGTAATCCGGCCTGTCATTTACATCCTTGTGTGTCTCATCCTGCTTTCTGATGCTGCTGTCTATATTAATTTACTATGATCCTTGTCCATGGCTTTCTTGTAGAATTACTACAAGCTATCTGTGACCGGACTTGGTACCAAAATGGGCACATTTTTGTTACTTTCACACCTGTGAGAACTTATTATTTATGCATGTATGTATGTATGCATTTTATTAATTTATTTGTAGTTTAGTTATTGTATAGAATACTTTTTATTATTCTATTGTATTTTATGTATTTATTAGTTTTTTTATATTTTAATTTAGTTTCACTTGCGTTTTTAATATTTATGAATGTATTTACGAAACATTTTAAATTATGGTTTATATATTTAGTTATTAGTTTATTTTATGTATAATGATATTGTATTTTATTTATGATTTTATTTGACTGATTTAAAAAAAATTATTATTAATGAATGTATTTAATTTGTCTTGACCCTTTTTGTTTATTTATTTATAGTCATTTCCTTTTATTTTTTTATTGATTTTTATTTATGATTGTTTGTTTTATTTTTTACATTTATTAATCTATGGTATTTATGAGTTTATATATTTAATGATTATATAGTATTTTATTAATGTAATTATTCAATAATTGTATGATTTTATTTGACGTTGTTTTTCTGCATTAATAATGTAATCTCATGCTGTTTTCTGATCCTGCTTTCTATAATAATTTACCATGATGCTTATCTATGACTTTCCTCCAGGATTATATGTATATGATTAACATAGTCAAGCTGACTGAATTAGATACCGAAATAGTCACATTTATGTTCCGGTTACACCAGTGACAACTTCTTGCACGCCTATACCACGTGTTGGGCTTGAATGACCATCTCCATGGTTTGGTTTTTGTGTTGAAACATTGATATGTAACTTAATCTGGGCTGGGAAGTACTGTAGGCCTACAGGATGAAAATCAGGGTGAAATCAGATTCTTAACGTCCCATTTCCAGTCATTGTGTCACTGCACGCCTTTTGGGTGTCACACGTACATACCTGTTCTTCAAGACACAAGCTCGCCAATGAGATGGGAAATGGCCTGCAGCCTGCTATAAGTTTGTTCACTTCTGAAAAGGTTAGGAACAGCGTATGGATTGCAGTCGTGTTTGCACTCCATTACCCCTCAGGCGAGAGCAACATTCTCTGCAGGTTGAGAAAAGCAATAACGGTGACTTCGATTTTCAACCTGACTGCTTTGAGACTCAGTCCAGTGCCTTAATGCCCTCCACTGGGGCAAAATCACAGCGAACCCTGAGAAATGACCGTCATTTCGGCTGAGCCTGAAGACAGCATGTACCTGCGGCCGTGGTGGGCGGCAATGTTGCGGGTGAATAATGCACATATATTTTGAGTTATAAGCTGGTCGGGCTTAAAGTTTTGAAAGAACCATTCTCCCCCAAGTAATTTTTTTTCAAAAGCAAGTCCATTCATAAATACAAACGTGGGCCGCTTTCAAGACTCAAGCAGGCTTTTAAGCTCTTCTTGAATGTTTTCTAAAAAGTGTTTTTAGTTGTGAGGTCAGCGTAAGGCACTTTTTGGGACCATCAGTCTTGATTGACAGCAGCCATGGCCTGGCATAGCCGACCTTGCTCTGTCAGCCACATTATGCAGGTATCAGAGTGAGGAAAATCTATTTGGCTTTTTTCTGCCTGGGCTGGGGCGGCAGCGTCGTAACTCCTTTGGGTAATGGGCATAAAACTGATTTATGGTTTTTGATGTCTGAAGTTATACCCCAGAGCACCGCCTTTTCTTCATGACTGAGGTGTCTGAAAGTTTTAATGTGTTTGTCATGCAGAGAAACCATAGCTTTTCTAACCAAATACTGCAGTTATGGGTTTCTATGCACTGTAAATTAATTATGAAATTCTTTTGTGATGAGAGGATTTAAGGACAAAACTATGCAACAGTGAAAACTCTCAAGGAAATTGGCACATGACTTCATTTGCATTGGTCAACTATGGATTGTATAGGCCTAAGCCTAACACCTTGTGTTGAGTCAGTTTTATGGTCTCATTTATGATTTTTATTAATTTATGATTGATTTATGATTAATTGATTTTATTTATGAATGTGTTTATGAAATGTGTATTCACAATTTTTATTTTATTTATCAATAATTGTATTTTTTTTAAATGATTTTTAATGAATATATTTATTTGATTATTTACATTTATGCAGTTTAGTAATTTACAAATTTATCTTATTTATTCATTTATTTCAAATCATTTGTTTGATTTTTTTTTTTTTTTTTTTTTCCCTTAGTGTTTTTTTTTTTTCAAGATTTTATTCATTTTAAAATGTATATCTTAAATCCGTTTAACTGGTCACCACTAATTTAACTTTTTCACTTTACTAGTCTAGTTTTAAAACTGACAAATGTATTTGTAAAGTACAAATTTAGTTTTTTTTTTAATTTCTCAATCAATGTCTTCTCATAGAAGCTGCATGCATAGAAGCTGCATGCAAAATAGCAATAGTTTTAGATGCTTCCCAAAAGTATTTAATGTCAACTACCATATATAACATTAATTATTTTTAATGCATTGAAAAGAAAACATCCCACAATGCATTTGCCTCCCAATAAGGAAGACTATTACTGAAAAGAGCTCAGTTTTGACAACAGGGTCACAATATGTCTGCGCATCATGTTGTGTTTGAGCCTAATGAACTGGCCTCGCTTTGTGTTCTTGTAAACAGGTGGCACTTGGTGGTGCCAGGATGTTAGAAGAGACGTCACTCAAAGCCAGTTACTATGGAAACACCAGAGTAGGCCCCAGAGGAAGTGATGAAGACCGAGAAGAGAAGCAAACATGTGTCGATATGAACCCTCAAAGTGGTCTCTACCTACAGTCCTCTGAGACCTGCTTTCCCACGAGAAGCTCTCAACTGCATGATGATTTGAATGAGCTTTCTGATGAGTGGTCATCCATTGGAGACTTGAGCCAAGATGCTTCCTTCTCTCTCGAGGGCTGCGTCAAGTGAGTAGCCGTCCATGAGTATTGGCGTCCTGTCTGTATAACTGATCTTTACAGATTGTTCTACCTAATTGTTTCTCATTGGTCCATCAGGCTGGAGAGGAGGTGGATGCTGTGGTATGAATTCAAGAAAGAACTCTCCTGTTTAGATGACTGGCTTCGATCAGCTGAGAAAATAGCAGCTTCCCCGAATTCCAGCCATGTGCTGTATGTTACAGCAAAAGAGGAGCTACAAAAGTATGAGGTAATGAGACGTTTGGTCTAACTTCAATGCGATTTAGATGTTTAATTTATGACATATACCGGTAATATTGTCCATAATGAAGAAAAGAAAAAAAATACTTAAAAGTCTAACATTTTTAAAAATGCATGCCAAGTTGTTATAGATATACTCATTTTATTTGTAAAATGGTTTGAAAAATATTAAAGTATTCAAGTGATTTGGATGTATTAATTGTGTATTTTTAATAATTGTTTTAACCGTTCTGAATGCAAACCCCAAAAATATTTGTGGTCTCTTTTTGAAAGAAGACTTTTAGATGGTTGTTGACCACAATTGTCAGAATTAAAGTAAAAAATCATTAGAAAAGCTGAAGTTATCAGCAATTTAATGCCTTTACAAAAAAATGACACTAGCCATGTTGAGGCCGAAAAACACAGTAGAGCTGAAGCCACAAGTCTGACCATGTTCTAGTTTAAATCTGATGATGCTAACTCTAAAACGGAGTTGCCAAAAGACAAATGACCTCCAAACTCTGGCAGTTGTGTTACTGTATAAAATGAGAGCAAGACCATCTCCAATTAGTCATTACAGGTGTCTGTTGCCGAGTGGATGCCAGCCAGTGTTTTGAAGCTTTCTACAATGAAAGTGTAATCAACGACACAAACACACTTACAAATGCGCAGACAGTGCATTTACTCGGTGTCTAGAAGCCCGGGACCCTTGCCAGTGAAGATAAATGACACCAAATGGTCGTCAAACTCCTTGGCTCTCCTCCTAAGCACCATTGCGCCTCCCTCCGTCTTAACCCCTCACACTATTTTCTTAAAATAACCTGCTTTAGCTAATCAGAGAACCGGTGGGATGTATTTTTTTTTAGTTTGGAGGGAGTTACCTCTTAATCGTATGATCTCACTGTCTATTTTTGTATCTCCTTCTAGAACCTGCGTGCTGAGGCCAGGATACGTTTAACCCAGCTGGACGGACTGACCAAACTCTGTCAAACTCTGGTCGGCTTGTTCAGAGGTGCTATGGGCACGCGGCTCGTAGAAATGACGAAGGACTGCGGACAGCGCTGGGATCAGCTCAGCAACACTGTGGAGACAGTGTGCCGCAGGTTGAAGGTATAAAGACCCTCAAACTGCTCAAAGGTATCATCTTTTAACCCTCTTGTGCCGGTGGGAAATTTGTAATGTATTATTTTTTTATTTTTTATTTTTTACTTCATTGGAATGATACTATACTTGGTAAAGGTTTTGACACTTGCTATTTGAACACACACACACACAAAATGATGGACATTATCTTAAAATGGTTAAATAGTCCTGAAAAAATAGTCAGAATAGTAAAAAATGACCGCATAGGAAATGAATGGGAAGTGAATTTCATATATTGGAAACGTTTGGTCCTGCACCCAAAAAAAATCTTTTTTTTTTTTTTTTTGAGGTATCAACCTCAAATTTGTACCATAACTTGTTTCAGTTAATGCCTTTTGATTTTTGCAGTTTTGGAAAATGTTTCATATACATGGTATTTTTGTGCATTTAAACTTCTTTAACATTTTAGTTTTACTTTTTTTAACCTCCTTCACCATACATGGACGGGATTTCTAAATTGCATAAAATGCCAGAGTTTTGCGTGTATTTGCATTGCTTTGAACATTCTCTGTAGATCCCAACTTCTCATACATACGCTATGATTGGTTGATTATGTACAGTGCCTGCACACTATTGGTCAAACTACTTTTCAGTCATTACCTTAAAAAAAAAAACACAGTACTGTATATTTACGTTTATTTATTTATTTTAAGTGTAAAAATGCTTTAGGTTCTCAAAACATCCTTTTTTTTTTTTTTACATTTTTGAACGATGTTTTTGTTGCTACTTTCTCTCTTGCCCCTTTCCTGCCTTCATTTTAATCCCATTAACTCTTTATCCATACAGCCTTCTGCTCTGCCTGCCTTCATCTTACATAATTCTGTCCTTCCAGCCGCAGTGACCCCTGCGCACTGTTGGTCTGTGCTCGAATGCACTGCTTATGCCCCCCTTACCATGGGCTTCTGTGTCTGTTTTGTTTATGCTGTTCCCGCTCCCTGTCTGCCACATTGACATCCTTGTTGTAATTTTGATGTGTCTCCCTGTCAGTCTGCGTCTATGCTAAAAACAGCATCAGGGTGTGGACGTTCAGACAGAATCATGCTGTGTGTGTGTGTGTGTGTGCGCGCAACAGCATTTCATCTGCCAGCGGGAGGATTTTGAGAGACAGAGGGAAGAGATGGCAGTGTGGCTGGCTGATATGGACCTCAGGCTGACTGAAGTGGAGCATTTCTCAGGCAAAGACACCTGCTCGAAGATGCACCAGCTTCAGGTACCTCAGGAAACAAGGATCGTCAGATTTGTCCATGTGTTTTTTTATTTGTTTGTTTGTTTTTTGCCATCTGTGCTTTATTGGTTACAAGTGCAGTTCTTTAACAGGTGCAGGTACAAATCCCAGAAAAGCCAAGTTGGGTTAGCCTTATGTAAACATGTCCAGGTCACAATTAACGCAAAAGAAAATTCATATATTTAGCATGAAGAAAATAAAGCCTACTTTTAGGACTATTAAAGTTTGTTTGTATTGGATCCATTGTTAATATGCGGCCAGACATTTTACTTTTTACATAAATGCATAGATACATGCATACAATTAACAATTTAATTAATTAAATTAATATTTTACTATAACAAATTAAAATACAAAAAGTAATAATGATAAATTAAAATGAACAATTAAAGATAGAGATCAATTAATCGAGAATGAAATTAAATGTTATTGTTAATTATTAATGAGAAAATATTATAACAATATATTAAATTATTTGTTAATGTATTAAGTTAAAAAATATATAGTTTGTTAAATACATTATTTTAATTTATATTTTACTCTAACAACTTGTAATACAATAATAAAAAATTAAATTATTTTTTGAATGTCAAATTAATATTTATTATAATTAACAGATTATAATAGTTTATAATAATAATAATATTTGAATACCTTTGCATTTATTTATTTAATGTTATACATAATACATGTCTTATATTAGCTTTTACATTGTGACGTTTTAATGGTCCTAAGTTTGAACTCAGAACTTTAATGGTTCTAACCCTAATGAAAAACACACTTGCCAGTAATAATCAAGTAGTTCTGAAGACCTTTGTTAGGTGGTTCTGATGTGTTCAATTAGGGTTGGAACTAAACACTCCAGGTTGTGGCCTTTAGGAATGGAATTAAATCGCCTTGACCTTTAAAAGTAATATCAAGGAATTATGTATATCGTATATGGTTGCTAATTGTTTTTATGTATATTTGTCTCTCAGGGGTTTCAAGAGGCAGTTGGAGAGAGTGCAGGTCGACTAAACGATTTGCTTCAGCATGGAGAAGAGCTGATCCAAAGAAGCGAGCCGGGTGATGCCCAGGTCATCGAGAACCAGTTGCAGGAACTCCTGCTCCACTGTACCCGTGTCTTTCAGGGCCTGGGCCGTCTACATACGCGCCTGCTCAGCATGAGACTGGTATACATCCATGCATGTGCATTAATTAGTTCATTCCAAGTGTGAAGAAAATTTAAAGCCTGAAAGATTTCTCATAGTCTCTTCCGAACTCACTGCTAATTCAACTGCACCATTATATTTGAATAAAATCAAGGTGTGTATAATCATTTAAACTCATTTGCCACCCAGAATATTGGCTAACCAAACGGCTGGCTGGCTGATTGTATTTCTACAATAGCACTGTTACTTATAGTCAGTGTTTATGGTCAATCCTCCATAGATCAGTATTAGCACACACCATATGCACAATTGACTATGAAACCTTGAAGAGTCCCTTCTCTCCCCTGATAGCTTTTTTTTTATTTGATAATTTATTTTGTGTCATCTCAAGTTCACTTGCTCAGAGCAGGCCTGTTGCATTTTTCGGAAAATTATCCCAAGGGAAAGCTACTCAAGCATCCAACTTCATATGTTCTGGCAGAAAAGTCATGAATACAACCCCTGAATAGCCTGAATAGTTGTCTTGTAGCCAAGCAGCCACTGCACAATACATGTACTGTCCATTTGAACAAGATCCTTGTGTGAGCCTTTGTCTCTTTAGGTCCAAGTGGATCACGTAAAGATATGCTAAAAATGTAGCATGCTTATGTTCTTTATGCTGTTGTCAGATATAGGACGTGTATAGAGTCCCACACCAGACATCATAATGAATTACCACAGCATATTTTCCATAGCTCAGAAAAAGCACACAATGTCTGTGTAGCAATTTTTTCCCCCCACACTCCGGAGCAGTATGTTCTCAGAATTTCCATAATGTTTTTTGTCACACTTAAAAATGAAGAAATTACATTAGATAATTGTGTTATAGATGTAAGATGATTTAATGTTTAATATACATATTCAAACGTTTGGGGTTGGTATGTGTGTATGCAACAGGCCTGCTCTGAGCAAGTGAACTTGAGATGGCACAAATTAAATTATCAAAGAAAAAAAGTCATCAGGGGAATATCAGGGAGAGAAGGGACTCTTCAAGGTTTCATATGAAGTACCGTATATAAAATATATATTTTCATATATAATATATATTTTCATATATTTTATATATATATATATATATATATATATAGTATATATATATATATGTGTGTGTATGTTTTTTTTTTAAATTTTATTATTACTTTTATTCATACCTTGCTATCAATCAAATAATCCTGAAAAGAATGCATCACAGTTCCCACAAAAATATGAAGCGAGAGAGCTGTTTTCAACATTAATAATAATAAGAAATGCTTCTTGAGTTGGAGACTGGAGTAATGGCTGCTGAAAATTCTGCTTTGCCATCACAGGAAGAAGTTAAATTTATTCAGATAAAAAGCAGCAGTTGTTTTAAGTTGTAGTAATATTTCACATTCCTGTTTTTGGTGAGCATAAGAAACTTCTTTAAAAAAACACAAAACATTTTTTTTATCCTCATTCCTCCTTATTTAGTGCCTTTAAACTGAATTGCAGTTCTGAGAATTCTAATGTTTTAAGGTGTTTAATTTATGTTTCTTGTGCTATGGCAGGTTTTTGAAGAGGACTGGGCTCTGTGTGCTCCTGACTCTGGCTGTCCGTCTGAGAGTATGCTGGAGGATGAGTGCATGGCACCTCAGTCTCAGGCCTGTCTTCCTCAGTCCAGTCAAGATCACCTGGTTCTGGAGTGGGACCCTTCAGTGGACATTGGTGGTTCAATCTCCCATGATGACACAGACTCGTCCTCCTTCAGTGCAGCTGCAGGTAGGGGTTGCCTAATACAATCCAATGGTTCCTACAAGATCATGAAATTTTAGTTGGTGATTAATTGACTTGCGAATAATTGTGATTCAGTGATTTACTGTGTAAGCTTGAGACACAAACCTTGAAGTTGTTTTTAACATTAAACTCAAAATCATTAATTGAAATGTATAGCAGTATTATTTATATACTATTTATTAATATTCTGAGTTGGCTTTTAGTTTTGTTTTCATTTAAAATTTCGTTTGAGTTTGTCCTTTTGCAGTTTTGTCATTTATTTATTTGTATTCCTATATAGCCTTTAATATATTTTTTCAGTTTTAGTTACAGTACTTTGTTTAAAAAAAATTAGAATTTGAAATATTGCCTTGTTTTCCGTTTACTATTTCTATTTTATTTCAGTTTAATTTCAATTACCAACTTTTTTTTACAATTTGTTTTTTTTAAGAGGTCCACATAATTTTTTGGAAACCTAGACAATGTAAATGTTTGATTTGTAGTAATATTGATTAATTTTTGTTGTTTGCTGTTTATGCATTGTTGTTATCTGTTATTTCTGATGCTATGAATATTAGTAATATATTTCTGTCCTGAATTCATCACTTTCCACACAACATTTCAAGTGAATATTAAAATAAAGTGAAACTGGAACATTTTGCACTATGCATATTAACACCTTGTTTATGCTTTCGTGTGCATGTGGTGTGAACCACTGCAGGTGCTGCAGAGGCATTTATGCTTCACGTGTGAATTACAATCAGGTGATTATGTAATAATCATGACCCCAAATGAGGACTGATGAGTTTTAGGCATTTCTTATCCCTTTATTCTTTGTGATTGCTATACATTTCTAGCAGGTCTCTAAAACACAGAAACTGTAACTTTTACCCATCAGGAGCATTAACGTTTTCTTTCATCCTTTCATGTGTGCTTTGCACAGGTGAACCAGCCAAATATTCTCTGAGGAGGAGAGTCTACATGAGTCCTGTGGACTCGCAACCAGACAATGCTGCTGTCAGAGTAAAGCAGCCAGTAAGTCCATCTGACAGCTCATACTTCATCTTGTCCTTATTTACATTATGGACCAAGAAACCACAGTCCATTATATAAGTATGTAGTATAGTGTATTTGTGTACATTTTCCATACAGCATCAAAATGCAAATGAGGGGATTGCATGGCATTTTTTTTGGGCTTCCAACTGAAAAGATCACAATGTGGTCTCTGTTTTTGTATGTGTGCATAGACGTAAGCACACGTGTGCTGTAATATGCAAATAGACGGTTACAGGTTTGTGTTAGTTGGGGTGTTTTTTTCTGTATTGAACACAGCTGGCCTCAGATTTGACACAAATTAACCACTATTCAATTATTAACCATTATTAAAGTGCATTAAAGCAGGGGTTTTCAAACTGGGGTCCAGGACCCCCAGGGGTGCACAAGGGAATTCTATGGGGTCCTTGGAAAAATGTGTAAAACTGTAAAAAATAAAAATAAGATTAAACAAAATAAATACATGATTCAAATAAATAAATGGAAATAAACAAAATCTAACATTACTGTAATAGTATTATAGTGAGTAGAAGAAAAATGAAAAAGAAAAAAAAATATGGTGAGTAGAAGAAAAAAAATTATGTAACAATGTTAAATATTTTCCAATAAAATAATACAATTCATCAAATGAATATTATAAATGTTATAAATATTGTAAATGTTATTATAACATTATAAAATATATTTATGTATATAAATTGAGTCTTTAGACGTCTATACAAATCAGTGGAAAAACCACTAAAAATGTTTGAGTAAAACTGTAAAAAAAAACACTTAAATACATTAAATAAGGAAATTTAAATATAAAACAGTACTATAGTAAGTAGACGTAAATGTAGCACAATATAAATTAAATATTTTCCAAATAATAATTTAAATATTTATAATATACGTTACATTTATTTATTTGTTTGTTTTTTAAATTGCATGATTTTGATATGCATGAAAATAAATAGCTGCCTTTTTAAATTTCAGGATGAGGTCCCTTGCACAAGGATGATCATATTTGGGGGTCCGTGGGATCTCAAAGATTAATATTCCTACATTACATTCAGATGCATTTATTTTGAAAGTAATGTACTTTATAGAAGCAAACCTTGATGCTATAAATGAGCATGCATGTGTGTATTTCTGTAATGTAGGTGAATGCTAAACGTAGTTGCTGTGTTTTTCAGGGCATCAAGAAGAGCTTGGAGTATGCGGCCCCACCCCAGACGCCAGTGCCAGGTAAAGCCGTGGCTCCTGATTGGTCCGTGTGACTGGTGCCATCCACTGAGGGCAGTGTCCCTCTCACAGCTTAATCACTCGATAATCATGGAAGAGCTGCTCTCAATTTGGCTTGTTTTCTAATATCCTTGAAAAATAGCCAAGAGCCACCAAAACCTCGATTATGAGGTTCATGATGGGCAAATATCTCAACTTTTCAGCCTCTCTATTGTGATTTTAGCCCATTCAAAGCAGCAACGAGTTTTCAAATATTATATCTGGCACTTAAATCCAGGAATAAGACAATTTGTTTTATGGTATACATCTTTTTCTAATCCGCATTCAACCTCAGGAATTTTTTTCACAGCATAGTCCTGATTTGTTTATGCTAAGAGACTTTGCATAATATCTGTTTTTGCATGTATGTGTTGTGGATACAGACATCAGAGCTGGCGAGCCTCAGGACGCCGGACCATTTAAGACTTCCACACCTGAAACTAGGTCTCCTGAGCCTGTGACCTTCGACCCTGAGCGCATCAGCGCTTGGCTGGGCCAGGCGCATCAACTTTGTTCTAAAGCTGTCCAGACGAAGCATGATCCACAGGTATATTTATTTGCTTGGTGTAATCACACAGTTTGAATGTTTTTCCTACAACCCAGTTTTTATATTATTATATTTTATACACTACCATTCAAAATATTGGGGTCAGTAAGATTTTTTGTTTGCTTGAAAGAATTTTTTTTTTTTCGGTCATATTTTTATTTGATCAATGCATTAAACTGATCAAAAGTGGCTGTGAAGTCTTTTATAATAAGGTTTTCTACAAATAAAACTAACATTTCAAATAAATACTGTTCTTTTGAACTCTCTATTCTATATAGAAAAAAGTTTTACTGTTTCCACAAAAATGTTAAGTAGCACAACTGTATTCAGCACTGATAATAACAAATGTTTTCTGAGCAGCAAATCAGCATATTAGAATGATTTCTGAAGGATCATGTGACACTGAAGACTAGAGTCATGATGTCATCACAAGAACATATTTTCAGTTTTAATATATTTTAAAATGTCATCTAAGCATTTTTACTGTATTTTTATCAAGTAAATGCAGCCTTGGTGAGCATAAAAAAAAGTATTTAAAAAACATTAAAGTCTTTTGAATGGTAGTGTATATAAATGTTTAAACCGCTCCATGAGTGATGCTACTCATTACACTGTCTGTCAAAAATGGTTTAATGGCTCTTGTAGATTGCTTTTGACATTAGCTTGATGTCAATATTATTGAATTTTTGGATTCAAAGTCACTGTGTTAATACCAGAGGAACATCAGTGTCACTTACTTAGAGGCAATAAATGGCCAGCTGCTGCTGCCTGTGTGTTTATAATGAATTACAGCTCATAAAATCATTAGACATTCAAATAGATTTAGACGCCATTTATATAGCCATTAATTATAAATAATTATAGAAAATCATTGAACTTTTCATCAATGGAACAGTCTCACTAAATGTCAAGATGGAAAATGATTTTATACATTTCATGTGACTTGAGTTTTAGCTATTGATGTTTAATATTTAAATATTCCTATATGAATTATCTTCCAGCGAATTATGAAAGACTGCGACTGCAAAATACACTGCTTTAATTTATAACCTGGAAATAAGCTTATGCTGATAATATAATTTTAAATGGGTAGAAATGATCAAATAAATGGTGTTAAATCACAAATTCACTAGTGGGCTTTTGGGACCTCACTGTATTTTCTTCTACACTGCACTGCATCTACAGTCGTCGTCTTAACTTGCTGATTTTGTTCTGGATTTGATTTCTGCTTCATCATGCAGTCATAAATGCAGAATGGATGCTCGGTGCAGTTGTGCATGAAGAAATTGTCAAATCTCATTCAGACTAGACTGCAAATCTCTGCTCTGTTATGGTCATCATGCTGCTTTTCTGCCATTAATAGTTGTCACATTGACTTGCTCAAGACCTGTTTACGGCCTCAGTGTGCTGTTCATATCTATATTCATAAATCCATCATATTTATCAATATTTCTTAGGGTAAAAGCTTATTTTAGAGACATCATAAAAATAAATATTTACAAGGAATATGAATCACATATTACTCAGCCGTGCTAATTAATCCATCTCAAATGAATCTGTAGCATCTTGACTTAAAAGGCTCAGTGCTTCTTTCTGAGACAGGAGGTGCGATGTTGGTTTCTGGGAAAGTGAATCCTCTGCACTGATGCAGAGGCCGATTTGCCTGCCGAAGCCTTGGAAAAACCTCGATGAAAGAGAGAGAGACCATTTCCATTTCAAAAAGCCTCTTGTAATTTCTCAGCGCTCATGGCTAATTGGCAGCTTTACAGGGATGGGAAAAAGACCCGCCGCTCTAACAGGCTCTATAATGGCTGCCGTAATTGTGGGCACAAACATAGTGAGGAACTGGCACTGCGAAAGGGCCAAGAGCGTCTGTGTAATGTGTCACACGAAAAGGTGGACGAGGCAGTGAATCTGTTGGTCCCATTAAAGGACTCAAAGAATGAGAGCAAAACGGAGAGCACAAAAAGACAGAGCCGCCTTGAACCTTATTAGTTAATGGAGCCCGTCTCTTTCGATTTACAAGCGCCTTTTGTAGCATAGCAAAGCTGTCACACGTAGTGAGAACTCTGCTGTCCACTCTTTGGCAATCGAAAGTGTTTGTTGCTTCTGTGAATCTTTATAGCTGCGCTCCACTTTTTTTTATCTCTGCCATCCGGAAAGGAGGAGGGAGTTGAGTATCAAGAGGATGTGCTCCCCCAGAGACGCCCCCACCCACAGCGAGCTCCGCACACGTGCTCCACCCCCCGCCCATCCCCGTCATATGACCTCCAGTATCACTCTTACCAATGTCACGAAGACCCACAGGTATATCTTGCTCGCACAGACACGTACGCCCCTTCTGCACAAACACCCTCACACGGTCGCTTCATTTGTGTTACAAACACCATAACTGCTTTTCTGATCACCTGGGGTTTGCAAATTAAAGCCAGACCTGTTAATGTGTAGCAAATGTGTTGCCTTGCATGATTTTTATGATGTGCTTTACACCTCTCAACACACCCCACACATAATTGCACTTGTAATGTGCGCCGGTGCCAAAGATGTGGTAAACAATAGAATCCCTGCAGGGCTTTGTTGATCTCAAGCTATTATCATCTTGTCCCTCTCTGTCACTAGAGGCAGCAGAAGAGACTTTGCTTCCCTGACTCTTTGGAGGACAACACCCGTGCAAAGTCGAGTTGGTGAGAAAGTGTTTTCCTATGCAGACTTAATTGAATTTGATAAATAAGCTTGTTGATTTATTATGGTAGGCATTGTGTATTTTCTTGTGCTAAATTGCACCGACTAATTTTTTTTTTTCTGTACTGGAAAAACAGTCATTAGAAATGTAGTAGTTCAAAAGTTTTTTTTTTTTTTTTTTAATAATTAACTTTATTCAACAATGGTGCATTAAATTGATCGGATGTGACAGTTCTTTTGAACTTTCTATTCATCAAATAATAATAAAAAATACTAAGCAGCACAACTGTTTTTATCATTGATAATAAGATGAAATGTTTTTTGAGCAGCAAATCAGCATATTAGAATGATTTCTGAAGGATCATGTGACACTGAAGACTGAAGTAACGATGCTGAAAAATTCAGCTTTGCATCACAGAAATAAATTCGATTTTAAAATTTATTCAATTTAAAAGACACTGAAAAATCTTAACCCCAAACTTTTGAACTGTAGTATTTTGTCTGTATTGTAGCTTGACATATTACAAAAATGCAGTGTATAAATCTAAAGGGATAATTCAAAAATAAAAATTCACATAATTTGGTCATTCTCATGTCTTTTCAAACCTGTATGACATTTATTTCTTCAGTAGAACACATATTTTGAAACAAAAAAAGTTTTTTTTCTCTCTATACAATGAAAGTTAATGGGGTTCAGTGTTGTTTTGTACAACATGCTAATGATATACGCAAGATTCTTACACTTGATTTGGGCAGTGTCCAAAGAAGGCACATTTAAGGTCTATTGGACTGCAAAAATGCAATGAGAATCATTTGACAAAGTGAAGTCATATGCTTCCCTGACCCGTGAGGCCAATTTTGTCCCAGAAATCAATTTAAATGGACTTAAACGTGAAGCAAGGACACAGATATTAGTTTTGACTTTAAATCTAGCTTCAAGTTATTTTCACATTACTATGAGTGAATACTGTTCACAGCACAGTTTCTTTAAGGTCAGCCTTGGCTCGTAGAAATGTTTAAAAGCAGTTTTACCTCACCAATGCATACCAAACTTAAATTGTGCAAATTAAATTTGATTTATGCCAAGGATGTCCAATCCTGCCACTATCCTGCAGAGTTTAGCTCCGATCCTAATTAAACACACCTTAACCAGCTAATCAAGGCCTTCTGGATTACTAGAAACTTCTAGGCAAGTGCTTTAGGTCAGGATGGAGCTAAACTCTGCAGGCTTTTGCCAACTACTACTATAGAAGAGACCTGTAAGCAATCTGTTACTTCAGAAAAAAGGCCTTTTATCATGATGTATTTCTGTTTCCAGTGACCTGTGTGGACCGAAGGACCTTTTGGGGCCACTGAGGTTTTTCAATGTAAGAAAGGCCTCGGCACCACTGCTTGTTCTCCTATTTGCCCTCCTGCTTGCTGTGGTGATCTGGCCTCTCATCTTGCTCCACGATACCTCGTGCCATCGATCCAATACCCTGACACGCTCATTTCACCTGGGCCTATGTTACAAAGGACCCCCTCCTACCTGAGGAAGCAAGAAGTAACGGCAAACAGTTTAGTAAGCACACATGGAATTGTTTTCAAGGTTTCTCGTAACATTTCTATGAAAGCATGTGTCACCTAATATAACAAGTGCACTTAATTCTACTCTGACACCAACTTTCTCACAATATCAGAGTGAATCGTATAAAACTGAAATGAGTTGACAGCTCTGGAAGCATCTCTATTTAAAACTGCCTTGTTGAGCATGTTTACTTACATTTTTGACTGACAGATTAAGGATTTTTTGGCCAACCAATTATTTATAGGTTTGTTCAATTAAAAAGCAGATTGTTTATGAATGAAAGGTGTGTGTGTGTGCAGGCTTTAAGATTTTGTTTGTTTGCTTAAAAAATATTGCTAAATTTTGTAGAGATAAAAATAATTTTGGACTGAGAGAGAGAACACATGAACATTTCATACTGCGTCACAATATGCAATATTTGATGAAGAACCACTGTATTGTATATCGTAATCACTGTAACTTTTTTTAAAGAAAGGGCATTCTGCACTGTATTTAATAGGTTGCATCAGTCCAATGAAGAAGACACACAAGTGAGCTTTAAAGCAAATCCTTGTGCTCCTCAAGGAACGGTTTTGCACTGTTATCCACTTTTTATGACTTGTAAAATAAAAGAGATGAGTGAAAACTAGTGGCTGGCTGTGGATGGTGACATTGGAATGTGTGTGGAGTGATACGCCATGTGATTCTCATTGGGGGGGTCAGTGTCTTTCTCTGTGTATCTGGCTTGCTGGACATGCTGAAAGAGGTTTTTGTGTCCTGCCAGAGACGAACGCTCAAAAAGATTATGAAAGAATGTTTCAAATTCAATTAGCACACAAATGATCTTTGCTGGAAATGTCTACAGATGGCTTTTCAACCTCATCTTGATCAATTCGTAGCTCTTGGGAGTTGAACTATAGTCAACACTGCAGAAAATGAAGTGTTGTGTGCATGGGTAAGCAAGCATGCCTTTGTATGATGATGAATTTATATACTTGGCAAAAACTTAGCCTCAAATTGAACCATATACCTCTGCAAGCCTAGAGCCTATAAACCGAAAGCAAATAAATTCTGGTATCCACCTGAGGACATGAAAAAACAGGGAGGATTTCTGTGGCAATAAAACATTTAGAGGAAATACACTTTTCTGAACTCTGCCAAGGTGCTGAAGGTCAGTGCTGCTGTTACAATAATTGGTGATATTAAGAGCATTTGGATTGGGCGGAAAAGGATCATGAGGTAATAGTTGCTATGAAAAAATGCAGAGGAGATGGTTTTTATAATAAAACATGCATATGAATTTATCTGGGCTGCATAACTTGCGTGATGTTGAACCAAATGTGACTTTAAAAAAAAATGCATGTGAATGCATTATTTTGGCTTCTAACTCACTCTTGCAGTTGCTGTCCTTTAAATGTGGCATTACAAGTTGACAGGGCAGATGTGTATCAGAAAATGCCAAAAATGTGAGTTGGGACAATCTGACTCTGAGCATCAGGCAGCATCACTAACTGTTTTGCGATGGTTACTTAGAATTAATATTATGTCAGGGGAATTGCCACGCTTGAGACCAGAAAGAGCAGTTTGTTTGTGCACCATTCAGCTGAAATGTGGATGAAGACCTAGCAATTTGCATTCCACTGCTTTTAATAATGTTAGTAACACCATATCACATACTTATATTTATATATAAGACTAAAATTATAATGTATTAAATGTGTTAAAAGTAAATAGTAGTAAAATACACAAATATTTTAGAGGGAGCACTATATATATATATATATATATATATACAGTGGGTACGGAAAGTATTCAGACCCCCTTAAATTTTTCACTCTTTGTTATATTGCACCCATTCACCCATT